CGTGAGCGCCGCGCTCGGGGGGGGCGGCTGCGGGACGGGCGGGTTCTGCAACAACCCCCTCCGCCGCGGCGGCCGCGGCCGGGACACGCAGCGCTGCGAGGCGGACCGGTGGGGCCCGCCGCCTTGACGAGGTGCTGGGGGAGCTCACGGCGGAGCGGGCAGCCGCCGCGCAGCAGCTCGGGTCGGGGCGCGGGGTCACCCGTCCAGCTCGTTACCGGCCCCCACAGCCTGCAGTCGGGCCGGGCACAGGGAAAGGAACGCCCCCCCTCCCCGTGGCTGCCATTAACCCTTTAACCCCTTACACGCTTAGAAATAAGACACAGGAGCTGGCGAGTCAGGAGCATGAATCTTTGGGGTGCGGGGGCGCCGGAGGCCCGTCAGGCGCGCTTGGCTCCCCCCCCGGCTCCCCGCGGGGCACCCGGCCCATGGCGTAGAACTCCTCGTTGGGGCGCAGGTCGATGTAATGAGCGATGCGATTGGACATGGCAAAGAAAGCAGAAATCATGCCTATGTCCCAGGCATCTTCACGGTCAAAACCATGCCTCTCCAGCTTCTGAAAATGCTCCTCAGTGATGTTATCGGCCCGACAGACTGCAAGGGCAAACTCCAGCATTGCCATGTCCCGGTCACTCAGATCTGCCAGTTTCCAGTTCACAATGACCTAAGAGAAAGCAGAAACCAGAGGAAGCACAGGTGGACCCAGCAAGCAGTCTACCTGGCTGGCCACCTTCTTTGCACCACAAGCCAGAGTTGGCTCTTAGTCAGGACCTGAACCAGACATCCCGACTACCATCAAAACACTTATCTATTATGTCGCCCTTCTCTTCTCAGGGACTGTGGCATTTTTGGTGAGCCAAAACTGTGGAGGAGTATGTGAAACAGGACCCAGCGCCGCCAGAATGCTGCAGCTCCCTGTTGGTACGGAGTTCTTCCACAGCCCAGATTAAAATAGCAAAGAATGTGGGGCAGGAGGACAAATGCTCTGCAGGTCAACCATCCCTCCCGCACCCTTCTTGGAAAGTAGACGAGGATACACAAATCCCTCCTTGAGGTCCTTACCCCACCAGCCACTGCTCACCAATAAACCTTGTGGGACAGGTTAGGACATTAGGGTCCCCACACATGTCAAAATTGCCAAGATTGCTAGAAACCACATAGATCAAAGAGCTTAAAATACAGATTAAGGGTCAAAACTTTCAGGTGAGAAAAGCAGACACATCAGAGGGCTGTTCCCACCTCCACAGGACCACACGAAGGAGGTGGGGTGCATGCTGTTGTCACTCCACTGACCTGGTCAGCCAGTGCTGGCTGCTTGGAATATATCCGATGAAGCGCTCCATGTGCAATCACACAGTAGGGACATCTATTCACCACACTTGTAGCCACAATTATGAGCTCTTTGTCTGCCTTGCTCAGTCGCCCTACAGGGACAGCAAAAGATTTAGCACACTTTGCCATTAAAAATGTCACCACAGCAAGAATCACTGGGGAAACAAGGAAGGGAAAGCTCTGGGTACAAGCTGCCTCCAGTTCAGACAGAGCTATAGAGAGCAAGCAGGAAGATGCTGCAACCAAAGCTCCCAGGTGACAGGACAAGGGGCAGCAGTTTTAAAATGGAAGATGGTAGGTTTAGATTAGACATAAGAAAATGTTTTACAGTGACAGTGGTGAGACACTGGGACATGTTGTCCAGAGAAGGTGTGGGTATCTCACCCCTGAGGTGTTCGAGGTCAGGTTGGACAGGCCTTTGACCATCTAGTGAAAAGTGTCCCTGCCCGTGGCAAGGCGGGGGTGTTGGACTAGATGATCTTTAAAGGTCCCTTCCAACCCAAACCACTCTGTCATTTTATGATCATCCGTGCAACCAATTTACCTGGATAGTTGCTTGCAATTAGCATGAGGGATACGAGCTTTGGTCAACAGGGAAACAACAATTCTGCATAACAGAAAAACTCAGAGCAGCAAAATTACTTGCTCACCAAGCAGGTTGGTACCAGTTGGTACTTCTCCATGTATGTCTGAGGCAAATAGCTAGGGAGTGTGTTGTCTGTTCTTACTCTGATGCTTTATTGCTGCTTTACAGAGAAGTGCAGTGTTCTAAAACCCACTAAGCCGGTTTCAGCAGGTAAAAGCATTACTGGCGGCTTTTGAAGGCAGAAAGAAAAAAATAAAAGCAATAATGAGGTACCAGAGGACTGCGGCTTTGAGAACTCCCAGTGACCAGCAGATAGACAAAGCACAACTTCTGGAGTGTCTAGCCCTGTGACTACTTTAGAGAAGCTGTAGAGAAGGCGCCTGTGCTTTGTTATGCTCAGAATCAATCCTCATCATTTTCACAAACAGCTTCACAAGAGGACTGTGCACGGGATCTGAGGAACTTAACCGGCTGTGTATCAGCACTCATGCTCTTTGCCTTCTCTAAGATCATTAGAAGCAGGTTTTTTTCAGAACTACACTTCACAGGGAAGGTCAAGGTCCCTCCTCCTTGCCACTAAAACCTCTGCTTTACTGGACTTTGAAAATTATTTACATAAAACCAGCGTCTACTAAGAGAATGAAAGACCCAACTAAAAACTCCTGGGTAAAAAGGAGTCAGGATAAGGGCCCATATTGCTTTGGTTCAGTGCCAGCAGGTGGACAAGCTGTGATACTGCAGGAGAGATGCTGAAAAGGGTAGGATCCAAAATAGTCCTACTCTTCTTCAAGTCAAAAATGAAAGCATGGGAATGAGAAGGGGAAAACAGACCCTCGTACAGCTAGGGGCACAGCTTCACTCAGCAGCACAAGCAGAGCAGAAAGCTTCACACAGAGACTGCACAAACCATGTGGGAAAGGCATAAGGCTGCACTCCTTGCTGCCTCCAGATCTTGCTAAGATACTCCTCCTGAGCCCCCATCTCCTGCAGTCTACATGCATCAGCTTATTTTTACAAAATCCTGGTCTTACTAATGCACCTCCAGTGCAAAAGCAGTGAGAATATGCCCCTCAGTGCCCTGTACCACATTCCCTCAAAGGCTGGAGAGCTGTGCAGAGCTCCCAACAGCCCTGCCCAGGGCACTGCTGCAGCCAGTCCTCCCTTATCTCCACATACCAACACGCAGCCAGCAACCTGGTCCTCTCCCTGCTGCTGCAGGGGAGGGACACCCCTGGTTCAATGTCCCTGGCACAGTGCATCAGGACCCAGAGAGTACAACCTCCCTCACCAAATTCCAGACACCATTTGTGGGCAGCTCATGGCCAGAACCACTGTGGAGGCAGAGCTGCAGGCAGGGCAGCCCAGGGCCAGAACTGCAGTGGAGGCAGAGCTGCAGGCAGGCTCAGCAGGGACCTGTGCCTCCCTTGGGGGCTGTCTTGTGCTGGGCCCTCAGCTGTGACCCTGCCTGGGCCACACTGCAGCCTGGTGTCCGGTCTGGGACATGACTGAACCCCGAGCCAGCCTCCTGGCTTGCTCTTGGATCTGCCTCGTGCCCTTGGACTTGCCTGGGACATCCAGACTCCTGGCTGCGCCTGGCCACCACCGCCAGACCCACCCCTCTTGCCTTGTTCTAGCCACATGGGGCCACCCATGAAACCACTGTCCCACTCTGCTGCCAGCTCAGTTTCCCTTCGGCAGCAGAGACATAGCTCGGTGCAGCGAGGCAGCACAGCTTGGCTTGGGAGCTGCTTTGTAACCACAGCCTAAAGACTATGAAGCTGTACGCAACAGGAGTTACGCTGTTCCAGCCTCTGCCAACTGTTATTATGGGCTTGGAGAACGTACGTGAGGCAGTACCTCTGAGGATGTCAGAAATGTCACTTCTAGCAACGTTTCACATCTACAAAGGGAAGGGCAGTTTTCAGGTGGTTGTATGGTTTACCTGTGTCTTTGTTCATAATGGCATTGTAATAAGCAAAAAAAGCTCTGAATTCCGCAGGTCGGTGAGACATGGCTTTGAACACATTGGGCAGAAATCCAGTCTGTTCAAGGAAAAAGAAAAACAAGTCAGGAACTGTAACTTAACACAAAGCACAGAGGGTGACGTTAATGCACTAGGCTTAACAATCAGCAGTGCAGGGGAATCTCTGCAGACCCGTTCTCCTCCCCTTTGAGCCCATTTATACATAGGACTGAACATGTAATGATGCGGTTCCTAATTAGGTGTTGCCGCAGTTTTGTAGCATTGCCCTGCTCACTGCAACCACAGCAGCAATGACACAGTCACATCGGCAAGCTCCTTTCCAAATGGAGAAGCTGTCTCCACTTGATCTCCCTCCACAGATGATGCTATGCCCATTTGACCATCCTCAACCTGCCAATCTCCTCTTCCCTCTGAGCTCATAGGACAGAAGACAGGGCTGGCCCCACCCGAACAGCACGCCATTTGAGGTGCTGGCACAATGATGCTGCTCTGCTCCTCTCCCCATTCTGCTCCTGCTACTGCCAATGCTTGGTCCATCTCTGTGATGGCGTGCAGATGACTTTCCCAGATAACAGCTTGCAGCTGTTATCGGTGCAGCCGATGCAGCACCCACCCACACCTCGGTCCCCGCAGTCGGTATTTATCAGCAGAGGTTCAGCCTCGGTGCCTGGCTGCCTACGGCAGTTCTAAACGGTCTGGGTTTGCTGTGATGGTGCTTGCTGCCTGCAGGCTCCATCCTGCAGCTCCAGCTGCTGTTCTTCAGGGTGTTTATGGAAAAGGAGAGTAGCTCACATGCCACAGACCCCTCTGGCAACCTCCCTCCACTGCCACGCAATTGCTGGTGCCTTCCTCCTGTATCACCCCTCTGTTTACTGTTAGTTAAGCAAGGGGAGGGTCTTCCCTCTTCGTCCACAATCCATTAGTTTACTGAGGAACCTCTGGCAACAGAGGTTGGCAGCACTGTTTGGAGATCCAAGGCTGCTGGGCTGATTGGATCCTATACATAAGTTTGTGCTGGCCCCTTCAGCGCACTGACACACAGGAGTTTGTGTCACAGCATGTGACATTTGAGCTGACTCTTCCTTCGTACATCATATTTATCCTCAGGTCTGCTGACTCCTTTTGTAATTATGCAAACTTCACCGGGGCCACTGCAAGGGCAGCAGAGCACATATTCAACAGGCTGGCAGGAAGGGCAAGGAGGGGTGGATCAGACTCCCCTGGAGGGAAGCTCCTGGAAGGGAGAAGCCTTCATGGAGCTGTGGCTGCTGGCGTTTCAGCCTTTAGTCAGGAAGGGCTCTATGGCATTCCTTCTCTGCAACAGTGGGGAAGGAAACTCCTGTCCAGTTTTCCCTTTTTCCCCTTATACACAGTTCTGCATTACGCTTACAGTTCTGCCACTGTGCAGCCTGTTTAACTTTGGAGAAAAAAAGTCAAAGCTCAAAAGCAGGAATACCCCCTAAGCCTTTTAATACTCTCATCAAAACAGCTCTTTTTTTTTTCTCTCCATTAAAATTGTTAAAACCACTCCAAATAGTGTCTCAAGTAAACACAGATGCTCTCCCAGAAAAACAAATATATGTCAGTGTCCCAGCTAACCCCATGCACAAGACACCATCTGAAACAACCCACTAGTCTCATGGAACCAGGGAGCCTTACAATCGTGCCAACACACTGCAGGATTTCCAGTAAAATTGCCATCCTGAAAACCGAAGGAGCTTTGCAAAAAGTGCTGCTCACCTCAGTCCCCATCAGGTTTGTGTTACGCTTAACTAGACCAGAACTGCTCTCTTAGCATGTATGGCCTACTCAGACCCTTTCCACTGATGGAGTTTTGCAGCAGAACTCCTTTACCTTCATTTCAACTTCCTCCATGAGCTCCACAATGTCATATGGCATGTCCTTCTTATTGGGTACTGGGTACCGCCCAATGGGTCTTGCAGTGTTCTCCTTTTTGGTGCTGTATGTCACCCTCAGCCACCTCCGCAGTCCCCCGAACGCCAGGAGAGGCAGAAGCTGGGAAGAAAGGAGGGAGGATTTTGTTACTATCGCCTCAGCATCCTGCAGATGGAGGGCTTTTCCTCAGCTGTTCCTGCTTTTCTGTCAGGGCTCGCGCACCTCTGGTGCTGTGAGCCCCTCACTGCTCCATTAGCAGGGCAGTCAGTGCTCTGGGAAAGGAAATCCAGGTCTCATTCCTGTCTGCAGCCCTAAGCTGCTGTGTGGGCACCCGGCAAGTGTCACATCCCCTCGCCCCACACCCGTGCACCATCTCAACCGCAGGCCATGGCCACTTCTCCCCCTTCCAGTCCTCACCAGCCTTGCATCAGCCCATCTGCACCAACCTCCAGCATCTCCCAAACTTAAAAGGTGTTTCCTGCCAATCTGCATGGAGCAGCATCACCCAGACATCCAGCAGTGGCCCTAACAGACCTCCTTCAACAAAGGAGCACAAAGAATAAATTAAAGCCCTTTTTTTTCTGCCAATCAGCCTTCTTCCAGGCAAAGCCACCTCCCCTCCTGCAGAACAATCAGTGGCACCAGAATCAGGCCTTCTGGAGGCCAGAAGCAAACAGCAACGTTTACCTGAACCACTGGAAAGGGTTTGGTACCAACAAGCCTGTATCACCCTTTGTAATGCTATTTTGTAATGTAAGAAGTTGTGGTCTCGCAGTGCCAAGGCTACAGAACTCGTTAGCCATTTGCCTTGTCCCAAAGGGCTTTACACTGGAGCTGCATCTGATGGACAGTGGGACTGGGCCGGAGCGAAGAGAGTCAGCGCTGGGCAGTGCAGGCATGGACACCTTGCTTGGGGGGCACCTCGAGTGTCCTCCCAGTCCTCCGGCACACACCACAGCCATCCCAAGTGTTCCCAGAACCTCTGCATGTTCCCCAGTCATCCCCACCACCGCACTGTGTCCTCCACAATTTTGGGGTCAAAATTGAAGCTGTTGGATCACATATTGTCCAAGTGTTCTTGCTTGGCTTACACTTGAATTTTAGCCCAAAAATGCAAACGTGCTACTGCAGCATAAATGAGTAACAGTGATACGCAGGCACAGCCACCTCATCTGGCTACTGAGGACAGAGGACACTGAAACAGCTTTACGTGGTGCGCCAGAACATATCCAGATACCACCAATGAAAATTATGAGAAAAGCACTAAAGCAAGTATAAACAGGGAAACCTTCTCAGAAATTAAACTTCTGAGGGGAAAAGTGCAATACCGGGGTGCAAAACATAGCTTTAGGGCCACTAGAAGCACAGATTCCCACCACGTTCGGGACCGGGGATGCGTTCGGCCCACACAGGGCTGTCGCTGGGACGGCCGGTGCCGCTGACCGGAGCCCGCGGGGTGCCTCACACGGGGCGACAGCGCCGCAGCGGGACGGGTTCGCCCCCTCCACCAGCGAGGAGGAACGGCCGCAGGGCGGGACGCCCCTGCTCCGCCGCTCCTGGGCTGCCCGGCGGGACGAGGCAGGAGCTGGCAGCGCCCCATCGCCACCTCCACTCGGAACTCCCCCCGCACCGTGGCCCTGCCGCCGCCCCGGCCCCAGCCTCTGCCCCAGCCCCGCGGGGCGGCTTCTCCCGCCCGGGGCGCCCCCCCCGCCGGGCCGAGCCCCTACTCACGGGCGGGCGGGAGGGCCGCAGCCGCAGGCCGCGCAGC